GTGTGTGTGTGTGTGTGTGTGAGGGAGAGAGAGAACACCCTCCAGGGAACATGGCCACACCTCAATTCTTTCTCTATTCTCTTCTTGAGATTTTGGGCATCCACGCATGTGCACACAGCATGTTTCTCAAGCTGCTGGGTCCAGGACTCGAACTGCAAAGGTGGCCATGTGGGATCCTGCTGCCTTAACCACCACACCACCGGTTGGCGCCTCTTCGTTCATACATTATTTAATATTCCTTATCTATCCTTCTCACTGAGTGTTAATAACGTCCCAGTCATTGTGTCTGGTGCCAGCGAAAGAAGATGAGAAAAAGGGAGTGTCCTTGGAACCCCAGCCTGGGCTGCCAGAGCCCAGGGGCACCGTGTAGACTGTGCATATTGTCTGACAGTACAGAGAAACAGAGGGGCGAGCCCCAAATCAGTTTAGGGGGTCAGAAAAGGCTTGAAAGAACCCTTCTTTGAAGTTAGAATCTACCATGGGGGTGGGTCTTGAAAAAAGCTAATGGGAAATGCATATTATAAAAAAAGATCCAAGTATGAATTTCAACATTTTTTACACCCAAATAAATGCATACTGTAATTCCATTGTCTTACTAAGTTTAAAAGTCTCTTCATATTTTAAAACTAGAACTTCAAAAGACAGACAAACCTGTCTTTGGGAATTAAGATGAATACATTTATTTCTGGTTGGCGACATTGTAGCCACACAGAAGATCGCCAAGTGTGAGGCTAACTGAGCATTTTTACTATTCGTTCCACGTGGGTTGATTTATTTACGTACTTTGGTTGTTTCTTTGATTGTGTGGTATGAATACTACAGCTTTTATAGTTGGTTTATTTAGAGAAGGGTGGATAGCTAGGCCTGTCCTGCCTTCACTCCACGACTGCCCCCTCAGCTGGCTCAGATCATAGCACACACAGGCAGTCCCCGGGAGGCAAACCTGGGACCTTCCCACCTGGGTCCAGGTTGTGTTACCGCTGTGCCCCCACCTGGCCCCCTCTAAGTGTTTTTCCTTGGGAGAAATGAAAATGATTTGAACTCTATTTTGGTTTCTAGAGATTTGAGTATTTATTTAGCTAGTTTGTCAGTTATTTTGAATGGAAACACTGAATAGGATGGCATATATTCTCTATGTCACGTACTGAACATGAGCAGTCACGTCACGGGGAGTATTTAAGAAAATCCTGTACAGGGGCCAACAGGTGGCATGGTAGTTAAGATGCTGGATTCGTACTTGGCCAACTGTGGTTTGAGTCCTGGAGCTGGCAGCTTGAAAGTCATGCTCTGTTTGTGTGTGTGTGTGTGTGTGTGTGTGTGTGTGTGTATGTGTGTCTGTCCAAAATCTGGAGAGGAGAATGGTGTGGTGTGTCCACCCCACTGGGAGGTGATTTCCTGCTTTGTCTCTCTCTCTGTCTCTGGCAAGTACATGTACCCTACGACGAAAACATTAAAAAAAAAAAAAAAAGGAAAAAGGAAAAGAAAAGAAAAAAGAAATCCTGTACATTGGGAAACTCAGTTATTTAAGGTCATATACCAAGTTATTATACATCAAAACACCATGGCAA